GGAAAAAGCCCCCTTTATCCCTGTCCAGTTTGGGACCCTAAACCCTAAACCTCTGAACCCTAAAGTTTTGCGGGTGGGAAGCCGATTTGCTAAGGGCTCCTGCTGCTCGTCCTACGGCACCAAGCCCCAAAAATCGAAACCCGGTTCCAAGTAATTAAGGCCCCAATGATAGACGAAGCCCTCATAGTAACTTTTATGAAACCCTCCACAGGAACCCTTTGAAGAAACCAACCATCAAAGCCACCGTGCTTTGGTGGTACTTTGGGTTGAAGTTGTAGGTCGAAACAGGTGGGACATGTTGAGTTAAGGCTAGCGGTTTACCATCAAGGGCCGCAGGACTCGGGTTTAGTTGAGGGCTTCGGGTTTTGGCTTTGATTTGGGTAACCCTATTCGTATCCCTTTTAGCTTCATGGTAACTGTTGTCTAGGATCTCCAGTAGCCTAGGCATGAAAAGGGCACCTTTTGGTGGGTATTGGGTAGTGTGAAAAAGAGACTAAAACCACGAAGAAGGTGGAAAAAGGGCCGCCGGGAGACCTAGTTGTAGCTAAACCCTAAACCCCAAAGCCCTAAACTCTAAAGCCTAACCACCGTAAACCCTAAACTCAAACCCTAGACCCTAACGAACCATAGGCAAGTGTTGCCACAACTCCTAAACCCTAAACCCTTGAACCCAATATGGCCCCAAAGCAGTCCTTATAGGAGCCGTGGGAAGACTTCTTCAACTCGACTATAGGGGCCTGACTAAGGTCCTGGTTTTTTTGTACTGTAATTAAAATTAGGAACGCCCAAAATAGTATAGGTAATTATTTAGACCCCTACATTACCCCCCTGGCCTTCGATGAAGTCGGGTTCCACCTGACACTGTCTGCCCCGTTTGACTTAGGGCTTTTGGGGTTTAGGGCTTCTGGGGGTTCAGTTTAAACGGCTTCAAAAGGCTTAAGGCTTTGGGGTGTAGGGTTTGAAGAAGTCTCGGGTTTCCATCGTTTGGTAAATTTGTAAAGCTTCAGAAGACTTCGAGTTTAGGGTTAAGGGTTCAGGGTTTAGGGTAAGAGTGTAGGGTTCAGGGTTAAGAACCCTAAACGCTAAACCTTCATGTGCACTGGCTAAGAGATTGGGCTCAGACTGAAGCCACTCTAAGCTCCATAGGAAGCTTGAGGCTTCAAAAAAGATAACAACCTCAAGGACTACGGTTGATGATATAAATCCTGCCCTACCCATAAGAAGGAACTTACCATACTTCCCATAGTTTAGGGTCCTTAAGGGAAGTGCAGGATTTACATCATCATAAGTAGTACTGCCAAGTATCCCGGTTTCTAGGTCCTAGGTTACTCACAGCTCTTATTGCTGTTGTCGTGATAGCTTTCTTCTTGTTGTGTGCAAGTCATCTATGAACCGACCATTTGGATTGAAATCACTACCTCTTATGTCGGGAACACACTTGTTGCCGAACTTGTTGCCCTGTAAGGAAAGAATTCAGCTCAAACGACAAGCCTCGGATACTTCAAGGTACTACCCTACTTAAAGGATCATGGGACTTAGTAACTGGGTTATAAGTAAGGTAACTATACTAAGAAGTACTTATAACTTCCATTGAGGTACTTATAACCCTACTTACTAAGTCCCATGGTCCTCCAAGTAAACCAGAAACCAGGCAATTTGTGGCCTTGGACTCACTTCGGAATGCCTGTTGCCTATGACTCTGGTACACTTTTTCTGCAAGTCCAGCTGAAGTGAACATCGGTGTTGTTCCAAGTTGGGGTTTCGCTCAAGTTCGCCACGAGTGTAGAACATTGTAGAACCCAAAGCCTCCTAAACCCTTCTGCCAGTATGCAAGAGCGAGAAAACAACAAAAATCATCGTGCCAGCGGGAACCCCAACTCGGTATCACAACCCCCAACCCTCAGATCCCAAACCAAACCCCAGTCTCTCAAAACTCCCCAGCTCTAAACTCCTGATTTGTAAAATGCTAGAACAATTACCTATACTATTTTGGGGGTTCCTTATTATATTTATAGCAGAATGGGCCCCAAAACCCTGGTCTAATTACAAAGGCCCCTGTATTAAACCCGAAACCCTAAACGCCGTGATGCGACCCGGCACGCAGAGAACCCAATACCCCTTAATGAAGGAATATACCTTAAATCATAATATTACGTCCGCTATAATTTAAGGCATATTCCTCAATTAAGGGGTATTGGGTTCTCTGGGCTGGCATCCTTTGGGTTTGGGTGGAATAATGTTGACCCCTGGTTAATGACAACCCTCCTCCCTTCCAAGACTCGACGACCCTTCTCGTCAGCAAGAGTTATACATGTTAGCTGCATGCTGATTGAAATTTCTTACGATGCTTACAGGATTAGTCTTTCCTGATGTACTTGGGGGAGTTTTCAGGGGCTGGGTGAACTGCCTGCGCGCGAGGAATCTCGGCATCACCGGTGTCGGCTCCTGGGTTTCTGGAGTTCGAGGTGGATGCAAACCTTTAGGGCCCTTTGAACGGTTCTATAAGGCTTCGCAATTTTTCAACAGGGTTCTTCGCCAAGTTGCAAAGATGTTCTTCAAAGCTTGATAAGTCTTTGACAAGGTTGAAAAGGGCCTTCTCGAGTCTTTATCGCAGGAACACGTGGACCTAGCGGAAATATGCACATGCTTTAGGGGTCACTATCGGAGAGAGATTAAAGCACTATTGTAGAACCCTTATAGACTGATAGAACTCCTTAAAGGAGGCAACCCCTTTCGGATTGTCCTGACCTCAGATGATCTGCGACTTGGGGGGTTAGGGTTGCAGTTCGATGCCTGGCAGATTCGACAATTTCATTTCGAAGCCATTTCTGTTTCATATGGATGCCAGCCAAAATGCCAAAAGCAGCCCTCAGCCCGAAATGTAAAAGCACAGTTTTTACCTGCTCTGCTGGCCCCGCCTGCTCTGTGGACCGTTTAACCAGAGGAAGGATCCTCCCCATAATTCAAGGTATGTTCCTTGATTCAGTGATTATGTAATCTCTGGGATTTCGCCTACCGATGATAAAAGCTGCAGTGCACGCGACCCTGAAGCCTCTAATACAGGGGCCTTTCATAGTTAGAACAAGGTTTGGGGGCATGTTAGATTATATTCATTTTAACAAGGAGCCATCAGCAACAACCTTTGTAGTTATTCAAACTACTGTATTCGTTGCCTTGCACAGCCTTTAGGACCAAATGACCCATAAAAGTAGGGGCTTATACACAAAGACTACACATCCCCAAACCCTAGAACCTAAACCCCTAGAACCTACACCCCTAAACTTTTTTAGGGATTCATGTCGTCCCTGCGGGAAGCCGAAGAGCAGCGATCGCTTTTCGGACGAGCGCTGCCAACAACAACATCTGAAAAGGGCTTAAGGTTCAGGGTGTACGGTTTAAGGTCCCAAGGAAACTGGTGTACTCCTCAATTCATGGGCATGGCTTGTACACACGTCTTCCTTGGATTTCATGTTTTTTGATTCCAAAACAGAGAAAATTTGGCTCAACAATTTTGCAGAATGTTGAGCAACATTCCACTTTCCCGCTTACAGACTCAACTGTAGAGTAGCCCGCCTTACGTCAAACCTGTCTGGAACGCCGCGTAGCCCAGTTGAAAATTTGACGGCAGCTACCCAAACCCACATACTGTAGCACCTCGTTATATGGTGTGAAACCCGCGACCCCTCAGCGGCAGCATCTTCATCTGTACTCGATCGGCACCTGGATTAGGATCCAGGGTTTAGGCTGTAAGGGTTCTGTTCGTTCGCCGTCCAATATCCTACGGCACCTCAAGTTTGGACCTAAAGCGGCAAGGTTATAAACGGTACCTACTCTACTACCAGGGGCACGAGTTCGATATGGGTTCCATCCATGGTTGCTCCAAGAGTTGTATACGGGCTCCTGTTCTTCGTTCATGGCTCCGGGACTTTTGCACGTGTTCCGCTAGTGTTCCTATACTGGGCTCTTGATAAGGAAATTACTAGAAGCTAACATAATAATTAAGACAACTGTGTTATTTACTATATTACTATACATCCCTGTTGTGACAAATTAAACTAAAGCCCTCAACAAGAACCCAGTATATAGGAGCTGTCGAAGGTCGTCTCGAGGGCTCGTAAACAGGTACTGGCTTCTATCAGATATGCGAGAGCCGGTGTCGTGCAGTTGTGCACATGGCTCGTCGGCCCACTGGAGTTGGACTTGAACCGCGACCTCCAACAGGAATTCACAGCCTGAACTGTGTTGTAAAACACTTGAGGGTCGTCGAGTTCTGTGAGGCCAAAGTCGTTGTTGAGCACTCCCACAGCCCGGCCGGAAGTAGGCTCCGTCGGGCAGCTGCAGTTGAGGCTGCAGAAGACTATAGCCATTCGAGCCGCCTTCGCCTTAATGGGGTGGTCTGGGTTCGAGATGAAGGTTACATCCGAGACCTTGAGGAAACAACCCGGGTCGTCCCCCGGCTGTACATTGCACGGTTTAGACGGTAAGAAGCCCCTTGCTCGGCGTTTAGCCTCGCGTTGTGCCTGATCTTCTTGATCGGCTTTCACCTGAGCCCAGTGCAGGGCGGTAGAGGACCAGCCACGCTTAGAACCAGAGGATGGCAACGGCGGCCGCCCGTGCAATCGGCCGACCACAGTGAGATCGATGCCCCCCGATTTGAGAATGTGGTGTACGCACTGCTCATGCTCGCAACGTCCGGCCACAGCAAAGTATTTACAGGCACAAAGATACAAATCATCCCGCTGCGTGAGCCAGTACTTGCTTGCGAGCTGGCCAACGAGGACAACTACAAACTTTGCTCTGTGCTGACGCCAGGATTCCACGGAGAAGTTGTCACCTTTTAAGGTCTGCATGGACTTCTTGCTCCCCCATGATTTGGGTGTGCTGCATGCCACGCAGCGATCACCGATCTGCTTCATCAGCTCATCCTTCTGACTGTCTTTGAAGTTCAAGGACTGCACCGTAGCAAACAGTGTCTGGACTTCTGCGGAATCCGTGAGCCG